AGACTTTTCCTTCAAAAACACATGAACACTATCTTCTCTTTTTAAAACCAATTTTAAATCAATGCATGTCATGCAGAACGGGTTCGATCATGCAATGTAGCTAGATAACCAATAAGAGCGACAAGGGTAAATCAAGAATCTAACCTCAACACGTGAATCTAATAGTTTGATCTCTAGGAATCAAGCTCGAAGACCCACTTTCTCACTCTAAACTTCTTCTTCTTCTTCTAGAGTTTCTCTCTCCTCACAAACAAAGACATACAGCAAAATGATACATTTTAAGTCTGCTGGCTGACTTAACCCTCTACAGGGGCACGTGGCAGCGGCTGGTTGGTGTTACACAGAAAGGTGGCTGAGTGATAAGATAAAACTATGACAAAGTGTGTTCAACAAGCAAGACGGCATGGGCACTCTGTCGAGTAATGATCTTGGCTAGGAACAAGACATCGGCAAGTACGGAATAATGACCTCGGCTAGGAAGGACAACACTTGACTAAGCTGTGCCACACCTTGGCCTAGATGTGCTACACCTTGGTCTAGGTCATACCTCTCCGAGACAAGATTACTTGGGTGCAAAGGTAACATCTCGGCCTAGATGATTCACACCTCAGCCTTGGTGATGAACACCTCGCCCTAGATAATGACATCTCGGCCAATATGTCAGGGCGAAGGTGAAGGTCAAACAAAGTGGTTCCAAGGTAACCCTAGACGGAAGACGACCTCGGCTAAACTCACACCAAGCAAGGTACAAAACATGCTGAAACACTTAAATGAACAAGGACAAGACTTGAAACGCAAGCTTACAAGACAGAATCACATGAATGCATATGAGTATGATTAGGATAGCGTGAGGGTTATTACACCCCAACATGTCCAACGTAGTAAAAGTTGCATAGACAATTATGTCATTGAGTTATGAGAGGATACTTTAATAAGACATCGACTGAGAGATTGTCAAGAAAAAAAAAAAAAATTACAACAAGTCAATCAGATTAGATCGAAGATTGGTACTTCATAAATAGGTAAAAAAAATCAAAATAAATAAATAAATAGATAAACATTGCTAGTCAATACAAAAAGTCTTGAATTAGAATTGACACCCTTCTAAATATTTGAATTGATTGTGGATAAATTTAGAATTCATCTACTTGAGCATTTGAAACTTGATATTAGATTGCTAAGATAATTAGAATGAGATTGTTATAAGGAAACTATTTGTGAGTAAAGTGTCTATATGTTAATGAATTCAGGATCCATCCATTCATTTGAAGTCAATTGTTATAAGATGGCTATATCATTGGGACTATTATTGTGTAAAAATGTTTCATTGCCAGTCAGAGAATTACATTATTTGGGAACGTTGTACTATGAGTATGGCCCAATACCTTTGATGTGGATCCCTAGAATGTAATGTTCAATGTGAATGGATTTTCGATCTATCAAGTGAATGTGATCATACACCTAAGTGAGTCGTCTTTGACTTTCGAGATTAAATAGTTATCTTGTAGAACCAATGGAGAAAATTTTTCCCCAGCAATTTGACTTGATGGCTTATGAATTCCATAAGAACAAATAATCGAATTATTATGGTCAGAAAATTTATGGATTTAAATTTGTTGTTGAGGTTGTATCACATACCCAACCTATTTTGAAGACTTCATATGGAATGGCAATAAGGGAGTGCTTTGATTTGTTGAAGCTAAGTAAGATCATGAATATCATTTGCTTATTTTGAGACACGTGGATTATTGGAAATATAAAGATTATTAGAAGATATGTGAATAACTAAATAAAAGTATATGTGATTGATCAGAGTAGTATGTTGGGATTAATGAATATTACGAGGATGACTTCGAGGTTTGCCATATTTTACTAAATAGGGTTTGATGACAATATGAATTAGGACAAATCACCATTTGAGTTATTAACCACTAAATGAAAATGAGCTAAAGTCTTGTGATAAGACAATCAAATGATGAGGAAATCGAATGATAAGGAAAGTTACTTGGGAAAAACAAGGCCATATGATTAGTTTTCAAGTACAAGCGCCTTAAGTTTGGGGACCAAACTTTCTAAGAGGGAGAGATTGTGATGACCCTGCCACCTATAATAGTTTACATTTAATTAATTCTTATTCTAATTTAATTGTGGAATTCTCAATAAGGTGAAATTGACGATGAAATTATTTTAATTTTGAGTATTGAACCCTAAATTAAAATTAAACTCAATTGAACTTAGTTATTAGCAAAGAAATTAATCTGTGGGCCAAGGGTAAATAAAAAAAAAAGTTTGAAGGTAAAAATAATAAATATATATATATATATATAATGCCTTGTCACCACCCTAGCATATAGGGTGGTGAATATGCACATATAGCTTAGTAAGGGCATCAAGTGGGACACGGGGAAGTGGGCAACAATGCCACCTGTGGAACAGGTGTCCGAGCTTGAAATTGTCACCTGGCAAAAGCTAATGAAACCTCACCAACTATAAATAAGTTGCCAATTGTTAGGCATGAGGAACGAAAACATAAATTACGGTGTGGTAGACTGGTAGCAAAAAATTAATATTAGGAAAATAAAGGCTAAGAGTCAATATTAAAGTGAGTTATATTATATTTTGAGTTGCCATAACATATTTTACATATGTTTTGAATTATCATAATTTATTTTATATAAGATATGTTTTATAACTTATATTTATATTTCAATTATGTTAATTATTTTCTAAACTACATTTGCTTCTATTGAAACCCATGGATATGTTTGTTTAAACTTTAGAAATTATTTGACAATGATTTTGTAAACAATTATTTTCTGTAAGTACCACCATAGGAGTCCCATGCCTTGGGGGACTTAAATAACCATTGGCCTCTGTTTGGCCATTTTGTAATCCTCTATTTGTCATTTGATAATGTATCTGCACCAGCTACAGCTACAGCAGTAGCTCAGCCTATATCTACAGAAGAAGAGCTGCAGTTGAAGCCAAGAGAGTTGCAGTAGAGAGTTGCAGTTGAGCTGCAGTTTAAGCCACAGAGTTGAGCTCATTGCTGCAGCAGAGTTATACATTTGTTACGAATCAGTTAGAGTAATTAGTTAGAGCTAAGATAGATTATACTGAACCGTTACAAGTTTCTAACAACAGGTTTGTAACAACGGTAAAGGTCTCATCTTAAGTTTCTAAAATAACACTTATAAATATACCTGTGTTGAAGATATGTTGAATAATGAAATATCAAATTCATATTCTCTTTATGGTATGAGAGCCACATAGCTCTTGTGAGCATTAAAAGCTTCCTCTTCAATTTATCAATGGTGAATTTTCATCAAGAATCTGCAATGGCAGATCTTCCAGCAAGATCAACAACAATGGCAGCTTCTTCATCTGGTATAACTACCAGTTCTTCTTTACCTTCTAATCTCACTCTGCTTATTTCCAATTTGAAGTCATTTGTTCCAATAAAACTTGAGTCTACAAATTATCTGATATGGAGAAGTCAATTTCAACACATCTTACGAGCTACAAATCTACTTGGATTTGTTGATGGCTCAAAGATCTGTCCTTCTTCCACAGTTCTTGATGAGAGTTGTAATGCTGTAGTAAATCCAGAATACACAGACTGGATCACTATTGATGCACATTTACTCAGTTGCCTTACTGCTACACTATCTTCATCCATATATACCTCTGTTCTTCATTGTATCACTAGTCATGCTGTGTGGACTACATTAGCTGCACAATTCACCTCCTTGTCTAGGTCACATGTCCATCAATTGAAGACTAAGCTTAGTCATCTTACCAAGAAGAATTCCACAATGGAGGAATATCTCTGTCAAATCAAGACTATTGCTGATCAATTAAGTCTTGCTGGCTCACCAATTCATGATGAAGATCTGGTTTTACTTACTCTGAATGGATTACCTGATGAATACAATGCCTTTAAAACATCCATCCGTACCAGATCTGAACCTATCTCTATTGCTGCCTTGTCTTCCTTATTATGTTCTGAATCTATTCACATTGAAGGCTTCCTGAAACAAACACATACAGCAGATCTCCCATTTGCTTATGCTGCTAACAGAACTTATTCTAGAGGGAATTCTAGAGGTTACACCAGAGATGGTTCTAAAAGTAACAACTCAGGAAATTCAGGCAGATTTTATCAAAATACTTACAGAGGTGGAGGACAAGGTAACACCTATAGAGGTGGAGGACAAGGCAGAGGTGGAGGCCAAGGCAGAGGTGGAGGCCAAGGCAGAGGTGGAGGCCAAGGCAGAGGTGGAGGCCAAGGCAGAGGTGGAGGCCAAGGCAGAGGTGGAGGCCAAGGCAGAGGTGGAGGCCAAGGCAGAGGTGGAGGCCAAGGCAGAGGTGGAGGCCAAGGCAGAGGTGGAGGCCAAGGCAGAGGTGGAGGCCAAGGCAGAGGTGGAGGCCAAGGCAGATCATCTTTTCATCATTCAGACCAACATGGACTGATTTGTCAAATTTGTGGCAAATCAAACCACTCAGCCATGGATTGCTGGCACAGAATGGATCAAACTTTTCACTCCTCCTCTTTACAAGGAAAAGGATCACAGTCTAAGGCCTATGTTGCCTCTTCTTCTTCAACCACTTCTGCTGCATCTGTCCCAGAATATCAGTCTGCCTATGCTGCATCTGTCCCTGATTCCAATTGGTTCTTAGATTCTGGAGCAACAACTCATTTCACCAATGATCTTAATAATTTCACTCAATTTCAGCCTTATCAAGGTTCTGATCATGTTACTATAGGAGATGGTTCTACTCTGCCCATTCATCACACTGGAAATGGTTTGCTTCCTACACCAAGTACTTCTTTTCACCTTCATAATTTGCTTCATGTTCCTTCCATTTCTACCAATCTTTTGTCAGTTCATCAATTCATAAAAGATAACAACTGCACCATTACTTTTGATATTGATTGATGAAAACAAATATAGACTAGTCGAATCCAGGATAAAATGATTTGAGAATGTAGATCCAACTTATCCTCGTGGAGGAAACTGTCCCTGGGTTTCTACATCATCGATAATCCTTAAAGCAATAAAATAAAGAAGGTCCAACAAGGATAGAGAGATTCTCACCATCTAACACATGAAAAGGGATATAAACTACCCAAGAGAAGGGAGATTTAATCTATGCTCGCGGAGGAAACCCTGTTTGGGCTTCTATATCAACAAAAATCCATAATGGAGAAAACTACAGAAGGCTCTAACAAGGATAAAGAGATTCGCAATTTCTAGCTCATGAAAAGGGGTATAAGCCACCCAAATTAATAAAATAGCAATGGGAAATGAGATTCAATCCATAAGCAACAACATACACGCAGCAGCATACACACAGCAGCAAGCCCAAACAACAATGCAGAAGAATTCCAAGTGTGCAATGGCAATGCTGGTATTTGTCTTACAAACAAGCACTATTTTGGGTAATTGAATATAATAATTTTTATTTTTTATTTTTAATCATTTTCCTGGAAGGTAGAAAGGTCAAAGCCAGGAAGCCAGACAGCAATGCAGAAGAAAGAAAAAAAATACAAAATAAGAAAAATAAAACTATAAAATAATAGTAATTTGGTAAAACAGAGATTCCTCTAAAGTTGTAGAGATAGCCCAAGAAAGCAAATGACTATTGTGTAAGTACATGTAATTACTTGTATAAATACACACACATATATACATAGATATTCAGCTACTTCATCGAATTCTCTCTGTTCGAATTATTCAAGGAAACAACAAAAGGAAGAAACAAAACAAACTGACAACTATAAAATATGAAACAAATAAAATAAATAATAACAAATTAAGATTAAAATTGATATGTAAAATGAAATAATTATTTTACCTTTACTTCTCTCCAAATTCTCTCTTTGTTTTCCTTCGGTACATGGCTCCAAGTTCTATAAGTGAGGGGCATAAGGTTCCCATCTCGAGCTAAAACACCCAAACGAGAAGCCAAGGGTGTATACCCGTCAACCACTTGGTTCAACTCATTAGGCACAATATGTAAAATGCCACCACTTGGGTTCCAATCACTACCATGCATGAGTGTTGGGCCTCTCGAACTATGACCTACTCATCCAAATATCAATATCAATATCAAGTTAGAAGATACTAGAAAGAATGATAATACAAGAATTGAGCAGACAATGGAGCAAATGGAGTAGTGTCACTTAGTTTAAAAAAAAGAAATATAAACATCAAAAGAAAAAAGAACATCAACAGAGAAATCTAATAGAGTAATTCAATTGAATAAAATAATTCATACCGGCAGTAGTGTCATGTGTCGAACCAGTACTCGATGATGTACTAGGCAAGCTACCTGGAGGATACCATGACATGGGTGGATCAGGTATGATGCGTGTACTCTCCTCTGAACTCTCATCTGAACTCCCACTATAAGAACTCTCATCTGTACTCCCACTGTAAGAACTCTCAGAATTTGCAGAGGCTGAATGTTGCCTCTGCCTAGAGCATCACCGATCTGTCATGCTAGTTTACAGAAGACCATAAGCATCCGTGTAGAATTTTATGGGTTAGCAATGAATATAAAGTCCAAAATATTAAAAAATTTCTCTACAAATTTAAATTTTAAACACAATCTTAATATAACAGATATGATCTTTCTCAAGGACATAAAAGGTTGTCTCAAGAACAATCACGTTGAAAAGCAAACAAATGACGCACTTTAAAAGCAAAGGTTTCATTAACATGAATATCCATGCTAAAAGCACAGATGTAACAATGAATATGAAACAAAATTACAATATCATATCATTTCTTCATCATCTTCAGATTGTGTCTGTGTCGATATCCCAAGAGGTCCAATAGTTTCATCAATAGTTGTTCCAACTTCACCTTACCTAACCCAATTTATGTCCTCTTCACAAGCAAACGAAGTTGCATCTAATTCTTGGTCGCCAAATCCTTTCACTTCATTGTGATGTTCTCCATCATTAATTGGTTGTTCTCCACACACCTCATACAAGTCTCTAGGTTTCATATTGACTACAACATCCCAATCAGCTCCAACGAGATCATTAACATAGAAAACTTGTTGTGCCTGAGATGCTAGGATGAATGGCTCATCACTATTTTGTTTCTTTGTATATAACAAATGATTGAAATTAACAAGTGTGAAACCAAACCCATCCTGCTTCAATCCTTTGTTGTTGTCAATCCAGTCGCACATGAATAGCACATATCTACGGTCGTATGAGTAATACAATTCAATAATATCTGTCACATATCCATAGTATGCTACTTCACCTTCCACAGGATTCATGTCTCTGGTACTTGCATAGCTACAAGTCTTTGCTTTCACCATAACCCCACTATTTTGAGTTTTTCTTCTCCACTCACAACTCCTCGTATGATACCTAGCACCATTAATTATATACCCATTGAATCTCGTGGCCTTTTTACTAGGTCCCAATGCCAAAGTTTTAATCTCATCTGACAACACAGCATTTTCAATAGCTAGAAGCTCTTCAACCTATTTTTACAAAGTCAACAAAATTAAACATCAACTAACAAAGAATTTGAAAACATGAGAATTGAAAATTAAAAACATGTAAGTTATTAGTACTTACATGAGAATTAAACCATCTGGGAAACTCATCATTGTGACGGCGATCCACATCAAAATCCACTACAAGAAAAAACACTTTTGGCGACCACCTATTTTTTTTGGTCACAAATAGTCTACTTTCTGCGACTAAAATTTAACTTTTGGCGACCACAATTTTTTAGTCGCGGAAAATCACCCTTTGGCGACCAAAAACAAAAAGTTGGTTACGGAAAGTATACTATTGGCGACCAAAGGTTTTTTTGGTCGCGGAAGATCACCTTTTGGCGACCAAAAAAAAAGTTGGTCACGGAAAGTATACCCTTTGGCGACCAAAAAAAAAAAGTTGGTCGCGGAAAGTATACTATTGGCGACCAAAGGTTTTTTTGGTCGCGGAAGATCCCCTTTTGGCGACCAAAAAAAAAGTTGGTCACGGAAAGTATACCCTTTGGCGACCAAAAAAAAAAAGTTGGTCGCGGAAAGTATACTATTGGCGACCAAAAGTATAACTCTACTGTAAGCAGAGTAGAAGAGTTCCAATGTCGTCTTAATATTCATACAGAAGTCAAATCTCTGGATTTCACTGTGGTTTGGATGAAATTGAAAAGTAATGTTGAAATGATAATATCTGTCTTTACCTTACTGATATTTCAAAAGGGCGTCAGGTGAAGGATTTCAATTTTTAATATGGTTTGACAGGATTTGTGATCTTGAAATGGTATTTTGAACCTCAATCCTGTAATAGTAAATTTTCTTACTGATGTATTGTGTAAGTCTTGATATCACCCCAAACCACATGGGAACAAGCATTGGGAAGATGAATAAATACTGTGTTTCTATACATTGCACATCTCTTGGTAAAGTTCTTTCGTAATTGAAGATATGGACTTGGATCTTATTTTTTACTGCATGATAAAGCATAATGACCTAATCATATGAATCTGTATAAAACTATGCTTACTTGTTTGTTTCTTCTTGTGAATAACTTATTTGTTCGGTTAAACAGTCCAAGCGAGACCTTCAAGGAGCTGAGCAATACTACTCGCGTGCAGTACTTGCTGATCCTGCTGATGGAGAAATAATTTCGCAATATGCTAAGTTGGTGTGGGAACTTCATCATGACCATGATAAAGCAATGTCTTACTTTGAGAGAGCAGTCCAAGCTACACCAGAGCACAGGTTAGTATCGATCGCCGTCACAATATTGAATTGTTCATATCATCCTGTGTAATGAAGTTTCAGCATTGTAAAATATACATTGGATGGTGCTTCAGGACCCATGTCCATTGAACTATACGTTACATGGACTCTTCTATATTTCAAAAGTACCGGTGTAAGACACCTGACACGTAGATATACTTCGTTGAACATGTGCTCTTCAAGTATGCCCAATTAGTCAAGTTTACTATAAATAACTATACGTAAATGTTAGTTTGTAAACACTATTTTACCCTAAAAAGATGAAAGTATTTAGGAAATATAAAATCTAGTTGTATCCTAGTGTCTTTAGATATGGGAATTAGATGAATCTAGACAAACATACCCACGTGACACCCATCCGAGTCCAAGTGATGTGACATAGGCGCTGCTAATATAATCACAACCAGACAATACCAGATGTCTCTTCATGGGAAAAAATTTGCACATTTCCCTTGTTTTGGGATTTGCAAGAAGGGTCAATGGCCTATTTAGTGCAACTTTTCTTAAATTAAAAGTCGATAATAAAAACGCATAAACGAAAAGCATTCATTCACTTTCAAATGATTAGGTTTTTTCGGCTTATTTAAGTAGTTTTTGCCTCATAGGCTATGAGCAGAAGTAGCATCAAGCAATCTGATATAGATGCCAAAAAAAAAAAAACTAGAAACAGCTCCAATAAGCTGTACCAAACAGGGAGAATATCAAAGTTTCTTCATGTCATCCTGTGTTTAGTTTTTGTTCCTGACATACAGTTTTGGTCAATTTGTTTCTTTGCTTTCAGCCACGTTCTTGCCGCATATGCTAATTTCCTCTGGCAAACAGAAGAGGACGAGGAGGAAGATGGTGCAGCGCAAGATCACATTCAAGCACCACTTCTTCTGGGAGCAATGACTGCTGCAAATGTCTAACTCTTACATCGCAGACAGATTAACAGCTCAGTCACAAATGTAATGTTTCATAAGTATGCAAACTTTCCTAGAAATAAGCACAAATTTTCCTAGAAACAAGCACAATGTGCAAATTTTCCTAGTGATTTCAATTGAGGTAATAAAAAATTTCCCAGTAGGTGTTCTGATCTGTTTTCACATTTGTTGGACAAAACCATTCATATGTTATTAGAAGCTGAAATCTTACTAAAATATATCATATTTCTGACTTCCTACATTTTGTTGAAATATTTGAGATGGTATCTACATGCTGAGATTTCCACTTCATCAAGTGTTTCTTCTTGGCAAATGAAAACTGATAGTGAGTAGGAATATGGGTTCAAGATATTTCAATGACTTCAGGGCGCTATGAAGTGATACATTCGTGTTTGTGTTATTCGTGAATGTCATGACACTTTGAAGTGATACATGTGTTTGTGTTATTCGTGAATGTCATTGTGCTTAGATAATGGTCACTATTTCATGTCAAATTTGTGTACCCATCCCCCCTACGAGGACAAACTACATGGCAAAAACTTTTTTTACAGCATGACCTGCAAATCCAAGGTAAACAGCATGTGCATCCACAGTTGGAACAAAGGCATTCTGAGGAAAAGCAATTCCTTGTGTGTTGGCCCCAATACTTCATCTACAACAGGCTGAAGCAATCTGGGTTCAGACCAGTATCATGTGTACATGTATATACGATTTGCAACATTTGTGGTTGAGTGCTCAGTTTGTTCCGCAGGAATAAATAAATAAATAAATTGGCAAAAAGAATTTCGACAAAGAAATTTTTGCAAAAACTGTTTATCTTATGTTTTGTTGCATCCTTGAAACTAAGCAACAACATACACGCAGCAGCATACACACAGCAACAACATTTTTATTTTTTATTTTTAATCATTTTCCTGGAAGGTAGAAAGGTCAAAGCCAGGAAGCTAGACAGCAATGCAGAAGAAAGAAAAAAAAACCCTACGAGGACAAACTACATGGCAAAAACTTTTTTTACAGCATGACCTGCAAATCCAAGGAAAACAGCATGTGCATCCACAGTTGGAACAAAGGCATTCTGAGGAAAAGCAATTCCTTGTGTGTTGGCCCCAATACTTCATCTACAACAGGTTGAAGCAATCTGGGTTCAGACCAGTATCATGTGTACATGTATAAATACACACACATATATACATAGATATTCAGCTACTTCATTGAATTCTCTCTGTTCGAATTATTCAAGGAAACAACAAAAGGAAGAAACAAAACAAACTGGCAACTATAAAATATGAAACAAATAAAATAAATAATAACAAATTAAGATTAAAATTGATATGTAAAATGAAATAATTCTTTTACCTTTACTTCTCTCCAAATTCTCTCTTTGTTTTCCTTCGGTACATGGCTCCAAGTTCTATAAGTGAGGGGCATAAGGTTCCCATCTCGAGCTAAAACACCCAAACGAGAAGCCAAGGGTGTATACCCGTCAACCACTTGGTTCAACTCATTAGGCACAATATGTAAAATGCCACCACTTGGGTTCCAATCACTACCATGCATGAGTGTTGGGCCTCTCGAACTATGACCTACTCATCCAAATATCAATATCAAGTTAGAAGATACTAGAAAGAATGATAATACAAGAATTGAGCAGACAATAGAGCAAATGGAGTAGTGTCACTTAGTTTAAAAAAAAAAGAAATATAAACATCAAAAGAAAAAAGCACATCAACAGAGAAATCTAATGGAGTAATTCAATTGAATAAAATAATTCATACCAGCAGTAGTGTCATGTGTCGAACCAGTACTCAATGATATACTAGGCAAGCTACCTGGAGGATACCATGACATGGGTGGATCAGGTATGATGCGTGTACTCTCCTCTGAACTCTCATCTGAACTTCCACTATAAGAACTCTCATCTGCACTCCCACTGTAAGAACTCTCAGAATTTGCAGAGGCTGAATGTTGCCTCTGCCTAGAGCATCGTCGATCTGTCATGCTAGTTTACAGAAGACCACAAGCATACGTGTAGAATTTTATGGGTTAACAATGAATATAAAGTCCAAAATATTAAAAAAATTCTCTACAAATTTAAATTTTAAACACAATCTTAATATAACAGATATAATCTTTCTCAAGGACATAAAAGGTTGTCTCAAGGACAATCACGTTGAAAAGCAAACAAATGACGCATTTTAAAAGCAAAGGTTTCATTAACATGAATATCCATGCTAAAAGCACAAATGTAACAATGAATATGAAACAAAATTACAATATCATATCATTTCTTCATCATCTTCAGATTGTGTCTGTGTCGATATCCCAAGAGGTCCAATAGTTTCATCAATAGTTGTTCCAACTTCACCTTGCCTAACCCAATTTATGTCCTCTTCACAAGCAAACGAAGTTGCATCTAATTCTTGGTCGCCAAATCCTTCCACTTCATTGTGATGTTCTCCATCATTAATTGGTTGTTCTCCACACACCTCATACAAGTCTCTAGGTTTCATCCTGACTACAACATCCCAATCAGCTTCAACGGGATCATTAACATAGAAAACTTGTTGTGCCTGAGATGCTAGGATGAATGGCTCATCACTATTTTGTTTCTTTGTATATAACAAATGATTGAAATTAACAAGTGTGAAACCAAACCCATCCTGCTTCAATCCTTTGTTGTTGTCAATCCAGTCGCACATGAATAGCACATATCTACGGTCGTATGAGTAATACAATTCAATAATATCTGTCACATATCCATAGTATGCTACTTCACCTTCCACAGGATTCATGTCTCTGGTACTTGCATAGCTACAAGTCTTTGCTTTCACCATAACCCCACTATTTTGAGTTTTTCTTCTCCACTCACGACTCCTCGTATGATACCTAGTACCATTAATTATATACCCATTGAATCTCGTGGCCTTTTTACTAGGTCCCAATGCCAAAGTTT